TGCCATATTCAGCAAGTGTGTATTGAGGGCTTTCTGTGTGCTCACTAAATAAGATTTCTGTACAGAAAAAGTGCTTAATAATAGGCATTTACTGCTATGTCATAAGAAGCCATTTTAAGTATATTTCTTATATTTTCTTATGAAGCTTTAATTTTTTAACATTTCATGTTTAAATTTAAAGTGCTACAGACATTGATTTTTGTGTATAGTATGAGGTGGGGGACATAGAAATCCAATTGCCTCAGCATTAAGTATCATAATCTATCCTTTTTTCTCTACTTCTCAGGGACATATTTGTTGATGTAAGAAAGATGTACATATAAGAAAATTATATGTGTGCATCTATTCCTGGACTCTCTGTTTTATTGGTATAATTGTCTATAATTTTGTAATATATTTTAATACCTGTATTGATATCATTTTGACTTACTATCCCCATTTCTAAAGCTAGTATCACTTTGCCTTTTTAACTAACTGAATCTTCATTGGACACTAACTCATGTTCTGCCTTCTCCAGGAAAAAGTCCCTGACCACATACCTTGCATGTGTCTGGGCAAAGTAAATATAGATGATGAAAGGTTTTCCTAATGAAAAAAATAATGTAACTTTGGGCAAGTTATTTAGTCTTTCTGCACTCATTTCCTTATCCAAAATATTTGCATTATAGTAATAGTTTCTCTATAGGAATGTTATAAGTATATAAAGTGACATACCGTGTCTTGCACATAATAATGTCCCCCCAAAATTTTATATATTGAGGTTACTTTATATTTACTATTTTATTTTAGATGTGAGTGGGCACATTGTATATGAAGGGCTAGGAGTAACTCGCAGTCCTCTGTAATTCCTCTGATAGGAATTTATGATGACAATCAGAGAGAGATAAGTTAAGGGAACAGACTATACTCCTCATTTAAATAAGTACTAGTTTTAGAAATAGAAATTGTAAATCAAAATGATGTCAATCCAATCAGATTTCATACAGAAGGTGCTATAGTACAGTCTTGCTGAGGGTCTACCCCTCACCCATGATCATATGTATCTAATTGAGTTAACAATAAATGAGGCATATGTGCTTTGAAGATTCAAGATTTCTAAAACATATTTCAACAAATAAACCAAGGTGATAACAATCACTTTTAATAATACATAAATCATATATTGCTATAGCATGCAGTAAAAAATATATTGGGTTGTCGGAAAAGTCATGACGCATTTTTGCAATGAAAAACATAGAAAAAAATACATAGGAAAAAAAACAGAAAAAAAAGTCATGACTTTTCCGACAACCCAATATTCTACCCTATTGCAACATGTGATGGTGAAGAATCACTTTCCTTAGGGGCAGGAAATTTTGAAATTGTATCATGCTTACTACATGTTTGGCACTGTTGTATGTGCTTTACATATATATTTATTAATTCAGTCCCCATTTTTAAAAATCTACTTGGTAGGCATTATTTTTATTGATAGTTTGCAAGTGTCAAAATTGAAACTCACACAATTTAGATAATTTGCCCAAAGTCACTCACCTAGTAAATGGCAGAGCCAAAATCCAAACCTAGCAGTCTAGCTTTGAAGTTAATACAATATAGAAAATAACAGAATGTTTTAAAAAACTTTAATAGAACATAGAAAAACTTATAGTGTCACCAGAATGCTTTCAGTACATTTTTTATGAAAACAATTATAATGATCAAAGTAGAGTGTCATGTGATTTGGAGGACAGAAGACTTGTTTGGCTCCCAGGTTAAAATGTCTTTACATGGTATAGTAAGTTCTCCATCATATAATCACTGTCTATCTCTTCGGCTTCACCATCCCCTATCCCCTGTCGCAGTTGTGTTCCAGTACTATCGCGTATCTGCAAGTTTGTAATCACACCAGGCTCTCTTCCTGACTCTGAACCTGTTTATTCCTTTTGAGTAGAATCACTCCCCCCACTGACATATCAAGGTCACCTCTTTCACTAATGATTTCCCTCACAAATAGAATCAATCCTTCCTGCATAAATCATGTTCCCTTTACATGATTTTTTATTTTATTTTCACTGAATATGGATTTATTGTTCATATACCAATTTCTCCAAATTGATTTTAATAAAGGATTAGGTCATTTTATTTGCATCTGTGTTCCCATTTCTTAATTCAAGGTTGGGCACATAGTGTTTATTCAAAAGTAAATCATCATATGAATGAATGAATATGGCAAGGATGTATGAAATAAAGCCATAAAGATTTGAGATGCAGGGGGTGGTAAATCTTTCTGAATTATGCTGAGGCCTCATAGAAAAGAGTAGATGTTCATTCCACCCACTTCCATGTTATTCAACCTAAACAAATTATTCATGAAACACTTGTAATGTTCACCTTAGAGCATATGTGATTTGGGAAATGGGCAATTCAATGTGTCTCTGTACCAGCAGCCCACAGGGAAGCGAGGAGGGTTCATGGGAATGCAGGCAATTGTAGGACGTGGTAGAGGGTGAGAGAGGCTATCAGAGATGCTCCGATGAAGTGCAATCGAATTTTGAAGGAGAGAGAATTTCCTTCTCTCGGGATACGAAGGAATTTTTCATGTATTCTATTACTCATGTATTTTTTTCTCAAGTGTCCCCAGTGCCTTGCTCGGTGCTGAGTACATAGTAGATTCTCAGTTTTTTGACATGAGTATGTGATTTAGGGGTGCGGATATGTGCAAGAAGAGCATTCAGAGAGAGAAGTAGGTAAAAACAATCTCAGAAGCAAAATCAAATGGGGCAGATATAGAGGAAAAGTATTTATCTGTTTTAAGTGAGAGAGTGAAGGGTGTGGGGTGTGGTAAGAATGAAGATCCAGAGAGAATAACATGGCGCTACAGTGTTTATGGATTCTCTTAACAAGCAGAAATAGGAAAGGAAAAATAACTCAAACTAATTTTATAATAGTTTTATTAAGATATAATTCACACACATACAATTTATCTTATTAAATTGTACAGTTCAGTAGTTTTTAGTATAGTCACATAATTGTGTAACCATCTCCACAAACAATTCCTACATCATTTAGTCGTAATATCAATGTCTCAAGGTTATTATAACTAAACAACATGTTGACAAATCACTCAATAAAGAATCTGGCTCCTATTAAGCATTGCTTAATAAGTGTCAGCCACATATTGTAATCCAAGTAAATTAGAAGTTACAGAAAGTCTGTGAAATGTCCCTACAGTGATCTGAACCTAGACTGCCACAGTCATTAAATTTGGAGCAGAATTTTTGACCTGTCTCAAATACCATTCAGAAACCATCTATAAACAGCTAGTCAAGTTTTACGAGTCATTGAAAAGTGGATCAATAGGAGACAATAAGTCATCAAATCTTAGGAACTAGCTAAGCTGACAGCATGCCCATGGAAGAAAGGGCTCACTACCAGGAAATGTTTCGCCAGCAGAGGTCAAAGATGTGACAGCCACTCAGGGCCTCCTATTGGTTCCTAATGGTGCCAGTGTCTCCTTTGGCCTGTCCCTTAACATGCTAGAGATGAAAGCTTTCCTTGTGCTTTTTTTTCAGCAAAGCTCTGTGGTCTGTGAATTTCAAATATAAGAAGAAACAAGTGCAGCTGTTGGTATTCAGTGGTTTATGACTTAAAATGTCTTTGAGGTCTTGGTTAGAGAATCAGCTATTGAATAACCTCAGCAACATGAAGGATAGATGATGACAATAATTTCAGCACAGTGAGGAGTGTGTGTGTGTGTGTGTGTGTGTGTGTGTG